GGGGGGGGGGGGGGGACTTCATAATGTATTAAAATATTACACAACTATCAAAAAGGCCAGAATGCGTCGTTTGAAACTTGTTTTTTTGGAGGGGCTGGGGAGGGGGGAGGCCCCATTATAGATAAATGTTTTTACCTTTCCTTCTGTTACTTTTATTCCATCCCTTGATATTCATTTACAAAGAAAGGGAAAACAACTCTAGTTTCCTTCGGAAATGTCTGAAAAGTGTATTAATAGGACGAAGATTAGGATTACAAAAGTTGTGAACATTATAGAATTTTTTGTTTGAGGTGGTGAACTGTGGATTTTTTGCATCTATGTTCTGAAAAAAACTACCTTTCGGTTGCTATTATAGTGTTGAGAATGGGAAGGCAGACTCTGTTGAGGCCGATTCTTTGGTGAGGGAGTTGCTGGATACAAATAAATGCTATCTTTTGGATTGTGGGGTAGAAGTCTTTGTCTGGATGGGCAGAAATACTTCTCTTGATGTTAGAAAAAGTGCAAGTGGGGCAGCAGATGTAAGACTTTATGCTTTTGATTTACTTGAGGTTCTTAATTTGAGCATAATTTTCTATCCTTTTATTGATGTCATACTCACTACATAGGATTTAGTCCGTGGCCTTGATCGACAAAAATCTCACATAATACGTGTAATTGAGGGATTTGAGACGGTGATGTTCCGATCAAAGTTTGATTCATGGCCTCAGTCAACGGATGCTGCAGTATCTGAGGATGGTAGAGGCAAGGTTGCTGGTCAGTAGCTAATACATGTTGCAGAATTTTCCCCTTCCCCAGAAAATGTTTTATCCAACCCTATAATTTGCTATCATCGTATCTTTTCCGATTCTTGTCCTTCTGGTTATTGTTCTAGAGCTTCTCAATCACTTGTTCTTTATTGACAATTTTGTAGCACTGCTAAAACGCCAAGGTGTTAATGTGAAGGGTCTATTGAAAGCAGCTCCTTCAAAGGAAGAACCTCAACCATATATTGACTGCACGGGAAATCTACAGGTGCTGCACATACATTTATATCCAATGTAATCTACCAAACACATGAAAGTGTTGAGATCCATGTTTAAAACATGCATTCTTCTTTCTTTTTTTCTTTGTTACCTATTTGAAAACTGAATTTCATTAAAGAGAGAGCAATTGTTAATGGTTCTTTCCACCATGGTTACACAGGTTTGGCGTGTGAATGGCCAAGGGAAGACTGTTGTTCTGGCCTCTGATCAGTCAAAATTTTACAGCGGAGATTGCTATGTCTTTCAGTATTCTTATGCTGGAGAGGATAAAGAGGAATATCTTATAGGAACATGGTTTGGGAAGCAGAGTGTTGAGGTGAAAAACTCTTTTCAAGTTCATTTTCTCCATTCAATAAACATCATGCATCATCTAGCACCTATAGAATTTATGCAGCATTGTGAAATTTATGATGCAGACAAAAAGCATTGTCTAAGGATATTATTGTTTCTTGTTAAAATAGAAGATAATGCATTGTGCACAAAAATGAGTTAATGCTTTCACATTAATGATCATCATCTTGCCACATTGACTTAGCCTTTTATGGTTTCTATTTATCTGCCATGAATAATGATACAAGTTATATTTACAGAAAGACTGAATAGAGACTTGGTACTCAAAAAAACACTTAAGTTACAATGGAGACTCCTATGCTCCTTCCCATCTCATTTTTAGCCGTACTACACTCCATATGATGCACTCATTCCAATAGTGGTACCTTCGACTATAAATGGGAACACCATCATAACTCACATATTGCTTTTGTTTCTACCAATTGACCATAATATTCACTATTCATATTTTCTGGGGTATATGGATGATGCAACAATGACTTCATCAATCTTTATCTTGCGCATCCTTTAAGTTTTCAAAATAAAGGTGGTCCCCCGTGACATGGTTGAAGTGCAAGACTGGTGATCGGGCATGCATTAATAGGTATAAATTGTGATATATGTTTTCCTTAGGCGAACAAGGAGGTAGGCTTCTTAGAGCTGTTGCCTAATCATCCCCCATCCCATGTACATGCAGTCTACCTATCATTGACGGAGGATAGTTACCAAGATGAATCCCTTGGGGAATGGCTACAAGGGGGAGACAATCGTGTATTCATTGTGCCTAATATACAATGCACAAAATAAAGTATTTTGGCTAGTGTGTTATGTGGTCTATTTTGCTCTTTTCTCGCTCTTAGGATTCTTGGTAGCACATCCACTTTTCCTTGATTGCCTTTTGTATATCAGTGCAATTCCTTTGGATATATCATTTTTTATTATCTTATTTGCTGTCACGTCACCAAGGATCAAAATATCGTTTCGAAACAGTCGAAACATCCGAAATGTTTCCGTTTTCAACTAGACCGAAACGAATCAATGATGGAATCAAAATTTTATTACTTCGAGGTGTACCATAATGTTTTGAAATGTTTTGTTATATTTCAATGTATTTGTACCACTATTTCAGAATGTTTCAAGGTATTTCAAGACATTTTGGTATATTTTGACCAATGTTTTGAAAAAAATAGTTCTTAATTTTTTTATTTTATTTTCGAAACAGATCGAAACGTTTCCAAAACATGTCAAAACGTTTCCGTTTTCTAGGTGACCAAAACAATACACCGAAATGAAATTTTGATCCTTGCACGTCACTATGAAACTTGTATAACAAATTTGTCAAAGTGACTTGTTTTGGATTTTTCATGTTTTTGGAATGAGATGAGGCTAAAGTTGGAAACTTGACCACTATTTGACATTGACGCTATACTGAGGACCACGTGATGTAGATTTCTAAGAATGCCACTTGGGGGAAATGATATATTCACAATTTTCAGACCTTTTTTTTTTGTCACATTTAAGTCTCTCTCCCCACCCGGCATTTTCTCCACACAATGTTGATTTTCTCTATTATATTCTTAAATCGCGAAATAATTTGTGAACGCAAATGTGCCAAGACTTAAGTTCAATGCAGCCATAAGACAATCTTGAATCTACTTATTTACCTTCTGCTGATTGTACAATATAGGAAGATAGAGCTTCAGCTATTTCACAGGCAAGCAAGATGATTGAGTCGCTGAAGTTTTTACCTGTTCAGGTACTATACTTTTATTGATTGTTTCTAATCAAAAAAAAAAGATACTGTTCTTTTATTAATATTAAATTGGTAGAGTATTTTTTATGGATTATTTAATTTTGGATATAGCATTTACTATTTTATTAATATCTATTTGCAGGCTCGCATCTATGAAGGAAGTGAACCTATCCAATTCTTTTCAATATTTCAGAGCTTTATTATTTTTAAGGTATGGTGGCATTAGAGATATTGCAATAGGAGCTTCTATTTATAAGTTCTAATTTTCTTGGTTATAAAATTCATATATCGTTTTCTTTTTCCCACCACCTGCCGATGCCAATATGTGTAAATATTATCAGGGTGGTCTCAGTGAAGGGTACAAGAAATATGTGGCAGACAGTGAAGTTCCAGATGACACTTATACAGAGAATGGACTTGCATTATTCCGAATTCAGGGTACTGGACCTGAATATATGCAAGCAATTCAAGTTGAACCAGTAAGTCCTACTTTTCTATCTCCAATTATATTTTTGTTTGAGATCATTCCATATTCCTAGACTCCACTTTGATTCAGTCTTCAACATTTGTTTTACTACTTTTATTTTAAATGAAGGGTGCACTTTTCCTTATTTTCAATTGTAACAGTCTGGTAACATCTGAAGATAATTAGTGTATTTCTTTCATTATCTTCTTTTACTTCCTTATTGTACGGTGAGGATGGGTTTAAATAGCAGTATTCATAATATGATGTCACTGTCTGAGTAATAGTGCTGTATGATCATTTATGACCTCAGGCTATTCTTACTATGTGTGCCATATATTATCTTATCATGACCATTGTTACATTATTTGAATTGAAAGGAAGTATAATCTCGCAAGATAGGGAGTTTTCAAGGGAAGGATTCGTTGTAGTTGCAGTTCTTAGCATCTCGTGGATTTAGTGATGAAAGAGTTTGGAATTTATGTTATCATCATCATTATACATGATTCAAATGATCAGCAGAAAGTATTCCTTATTTGAAACTCAAGGATGGTGCTGGGAATTCTGTTTTCATCTCCTCTAAATGACAGGTATCAGTTATGTGATAGAGACTAAGCCTCAAGCCCTTTGAGAGAATCTCAATGAAGCATCTGCTTTGAATTTGATTCATTGTTTGATTGGGTCTGTTGCTGACATGGTGGATGAATGGGTTAGATCTCATTAAGCTAGTGATGATAAATAACCTAATGAGAGAGAAACTGGAGTTGTTCTTATCTTTAGATCCAAAGATCATATTAACCACTAAATCAACTTCTGAGAAAAAAAAACTCACATTGGCCAACAATAGAGAATACATTAGTGCTAATTCATTTTCTTTCCTTTTGAAGAATTTCTCATCCTTTGGATGCTGTCCTTCATTTCTATCCATCAATAAACTTTTTAAAAACAGAATACAGAACAATGACAACCCCCCACAGAAGGAAAAAACTGTTTTTTGGTCATAAAGGAAACTGATATTAATTACATGTCAATGTTCTGCAATAGCAATTGTGGATTAATGATGAAAATAAAAACTCCCATTTATCATCAGCCAATTTTTAAGTTTGATGGCATCCCAAAAACTTGTTTTTCCATTCTTTCTTACTGAACCTCCAGCATCTAGGTTAGCCATCAATTGCATCATGTGAAGTATATCAATGCTGTTATATTGTTTCTTTTGTGATAGCTTGTCTAGAGATTGTGAGGTCATTATGGAAAGATTTGAAGCATTAGATCATGACCTTTTTCTGGGTCAGCTAGTGTGTAGGCTCTATGAAGATGAACTAGTGTTATATTAGACCTTGAAAAAGTGAGTGAGGTTTGTTATAGTTTATGGAACTTCTGGACACTGGACCCTTCTAAAATTTAGCACTACTTCAGGGTGGCTAGAGTTCCACAGGCTACACAAGTAAAATCTTTTGCTCTGTCCCAGTTGTGTGAGGAGTGAACAAGGGCTAGTTGTAGGTAATGTTCTTAAAGGTTGGTACTTGGCCGAGTAGATTGATTGAAAATGGGATGGTTCTGAACTCATCAAATAGAATTTTTAAGGTACGAAGAGGGACTGAGAGATCTGATTATGTATTCTAAAGCTTTTTAAGAGCAGAAAATCAAGAGAAATAGGAGGATAGAAGAGAGGGAGAGAAGCCTAGACCGTTGAACCAGGATCTCATGCATCAGACCCATGAAAAGATGCATCATTCATCTGGCTCTCTGATGCATGCCATATGCACTCACTTTGGTCTTGATTAGGTATGCTTTGACATTTGAGCTCTTATTATTTATTTAATAGTGTTAACTACTATCTACTCTTAAATGGTTGGTTAACTTGATGTCAGAGTAGGAGGTCTTATGTTCGAATCTTGCCGCCTTAATTAAAAACAAATTCATGTGCGAGGTCCAAAATCTAGTTTGCACGTGAGGTCTCATGCTAAAGTATAAATACTTAAGTTACACCATCTCTAATAGCTTAAGTTTTTAAAGTGGATGGTTGTTTAACAAACAGGAATGTAAATAAACTCACTTTCTGTAATCATAGGTACTCAAATTTTTACTTTTGTTCTGCTTTCCAAATATCATATTTCTTCAAGCATGTAGGGTGTACACCATAATGATTTGACCATGCACCTCCAACTTCAAAGCATTTAAGTATAAGGATGCAAGGATCAATTTCTTCATGGCAGCTAAGTGGGGCTTCCATCCAGTTCCTACAATAACCATCTTATATTGCATTTCTTCCCAGAATTATGAATTCAAATTGGATGTCAAGATAGAATATTACATCAGCATCATCTTATTGTTTGGTTTAAAAAGATGCTATATGTAACAACGCAGTTTGGAAAAACAAAGGAAAAGAAAACTAATAAGAATGTATATCGAGACTAATGACCATGTATATTATGGTTGACAAGCTGGTCACCTGCTTATTGCTTGTGTATTTATACTCTTGTATCCTGCATAGATATGCTTATACCTATGATTACCTATTGCAGCTCAAATCATGATCCTGACAATGTGGACCTTAGATATTTTCTAATTCTTTTATTGCTTAGTGTCTTTCATAATTAGTTGTTACTTTTTTTTAAAGTACAACTTGAATATCAGAAGATTGATTTTTTTTTTTTTTTTGTTTTATATGAACTAGGTGGCATCTTCTTTGAATTCGTCTTACTGTTACATACTACACAGTGGATCCTCCGTCTTTATATGGTCCGGAAATCTTACAACCCCAGAGGACCAGGAACTTGTTGAGAGGCAACTGGATCTGATAAAGGTCTGATAACTGTTTTGGTTGTTAACCTTCCCCTAGGAGTTACTTCAATCTATAAAGACTCCATGATTGTAATGATTATGCTTATGTTTAGATATCTTTGTTGGATAGAACTGCATTAAGTTATTATTTGTCATGTTTGTATTTATCATTTCATTGAATGTCTGGCTCACTGATTGGTGTATAAGTCAAACAGGCTGATCAATTAATCTGAGCACCCCAACTTAAGTACTTTAGTGTAAATACTCGTATGTTTATAGAGAGTATCCATTTTATCTTGGACTGACAAAATATCATTGATTTCACTTGTCACACACTTCATTTGCAGCCCAATATGCAGTCGAAACTACAAAAAGAAGGCGCAGAATCTGAACAATTTTGGGAATTGTTAGGCGGAAAATCTGAATACCCCAGCCAGAAGATTACTAGGGATGCTGAACGAGATCCTCATTTGTTCTCATGCACTTTCTTAAAGGGTGAGAAGTACTATCCCTGTTGATGAAGTTTTATTTCATTCTTTCAGAGTCTAGTCTTAAACACATTGGGGATTATAGTATAATCTCATTCTTTTTATTCTTTCCATTGTGTTGATAACTGCTGCCATTTATGCTGCTCTTCAGGAGACCTGAAGGTGTGTATCTTCTTTAAATCTTTTCTTTGTGAGTTACGTTAGGACTATCTTAACATTAAGCAATCTAATCTTTGCACAGAGAGACACTAGTTTCTGCAATCACGTGTGTGGGGAATGTGGCCTTTCAGAATACTTTTCATGTCTTATTCGTTTACATGATTATGCATTAATATATGCTCTGTCTATCTAGACGCTCTAAGATATAGGACTCATATCAACTAAAACTANGTTGACAAGCTGGTCACCTGCTTATTGCTTGTGTATTTATACTCTTGTATCCTGCATAGATATGCTTATACCTATGATTACCTATTGCAGCTCAAATCATGATCCTGACAATGTGGACCTTAGATATTTTCTAATTCTTTTATTGCTTAGTGTCTTTCATAATTAGTTGTTACTTTTTTTTAAAGTACAACTTGAATATCAGAAGATTGATTTTTTTTTTTTTTTTGTTTTATATGAACTAGGTGGCATCTTCTTTGAATTCGTCTTACTGTTACATACTACACAGTGGATCCTCCGTCTTTATATGGTCCGGAAATCTTACAACCCCAGAGGACCAGGAACTTGTTGAGAGGCAACTGGATCTGATAAAGGTCTGATAACTGTTTTGGTTGTTAACCTTCCCCTAGGAGTTACTTCAATCTATAAAGACTCCATGATTGTAATGATTATGCTTATGTTTAGATATCTTTGTTGGATAGAACTGCATTAAGTTATTATTTGTCATGTTTGTATTTATCATTTCATTGAATGTCTGGCTCACTGATTGGTGTATAAGTCAAACAGGCTGATCAATTAATCTGAGCACCCCAACTTAAGTACTTTAGTGTAAATACTCGTATGTTTATAGAGAGTATCCATTTTATCTTGGACTGACAAAATATCATTGATTTCACTTGTCACACACTTCATTTGCAGCCCAATATGCAGTCGAAACTACAAAAAGAAGGCGCAGAATCTGAACAATTTTGGGAATTGTTAGGCGGAAAATCTGAATACCCCAGCCAGAAGATTACTAGGGATGCTGAACGAGATCCTCATTTGTTCTCATGCACTTTCTTAAAGGGTGAGAAGTACTATCCCTGTTGATGAAGTTTTATTTCATTCTTTCAGAGTCTAGTCTTAAACACATTGGGGATTATAGTATAATCTCATTCTTTTTATTCTTTCCATTGTGTTGATAACTGCTGCCATTTATGCTGCTCTTCAGGAGACCTGAAGGTGTGTATCTTCTTTAAATCTTTTCTTTGTCAGTTACGTTAGGACTATCTTAACATTAAGCAATCTAATCTTTGCACAGAGAGACACTAGTTTCTGCAATCACGTGTGTGGGGAATGTGGCCTTTCAGAATACTTTTCATGTCTTATTCGTTTACATGATTATGCATTAATATATGCTCTGTCTATCTAGACGCTCTAAGATATAGGACTCATATCAACTAAAACTACGAGGAATTTTTTTATTTAATTCATATAAAGCTCCTTACGATCTTGGTTTCATGGAATCTTTGCTCAGTGAATTTGAATAAGGCTGTTTACTGCAGGTTACAGAGATATACAACTTCAACCAGGATGATTTGATGACTGAAGATATATTCGTCCTGGATTGTCACTCAAATATCTTTGTCTGGGTGGGGCAACAGGTTGACGACAAAAGTAGAATGCATGCGATAACTATTGGGGAGGTATGATTTATGTGGTTCTGGCGAAATGAAAGACAATACTTTGGTTGTAAGGATTAGAACTGCTATGTTAAACCTATTCTGCATTAGATCATGAACTGAGGAAAAGTCATAGAACTTGGACACCACGGCATCAAAGTTTCTCTACAGAAGTCCTAGAGTGGGGGTTGCACATTGGTGGAACTGAGCCTAGGTTTTGTAAAGCTAGTAAGAGACCCACGCCCCAATGCAAGCTTTGGCCTTATGTTCTCTAAAGCATTAATATACATGGCATAAAGACATAAAATTTGGAGCTTAACAAAGTTTTCCTGTGGCCACCATCTGTTAAAAGATTTTGGATACTTGGTTTCTTCCACATTCTTATCATTTTCTTTTTTGACAGAAATATCTTGAACATGATTTTCTTCTGGAGAATTCATCTTGTCAAGCTCCAATATACATTGTTATGGAAGGGAGTGAGCCGCCTTTCTTTACACGTTTTTTCACATGGGACTCTACAAAATCTGCAGTAAGTGATCGCTTTATACTTATGAAATCCAGCGTGATGGCTAGGAATTCAACAATTATTTAAAAATCAATATTTTCAATGTCTAGATGCATGGAAACTCATTCCAAAGGAAGCTTGCTACAGTTAGGAATGGTGGAACTCCATCTCTGGATGTAAGTGTCTAATCCTTCTTTCTTTTTCCTTGTCCTCTATTTTCTTTGTCTGGATCAGCACTTTGGTCCGAAGATTTATTTCATTGATCTACACCTTAATTCTTATTTCCTTTGTTACCTCCACCTATGTTAGATTACTTGTCAAGGTGCCAACTTTCCTTGTGCACCTTTTATCTAATGTATGTCCACTGTTTTTTGCATCCACTGTTGATATCTTTTAAGTTATAAGGTGTGTTGCTGTAAGTAGCAGCAATAAGGTGTCTATATCGGGGGATGTTTGCTTCAGCAAATTATATGCAACTTCTTGGTATAAGTATACTCTTGCTATATTATGTGTCAAATTACATGTTAGGTGTATGACATTTATATTTTTGATTGTTTGATAGTCCTAGATGCAAGACCCATATGTTTTCCATGCAAAACTTGTTTAGATATTTATTAAGCTGGAGGTTCCAATCTGTCAAGCTAATCCATGTGCTTTTTCGTGCCAAACAATGGTTCCCAGACATAATCCATACTATTGGCATTGCATGCTTATAATGGTCCCAGACATAATCCTTTTTTTTGTTTCCGTTTAATGCTTTTATATTTATGTAGCTGGAGGTTCCAATGAACCAACCTTTCAAGCTAATCTGTGTGCTTTGTCATGCCAAACAGTGGTACCTTTACATAATCCTTACTATTTGCATTACATGCTCACTATGGGTCCCGAGCATCATTTGTTGTTTCTACTTCGATTTATCCCTTTTGTTTTAGCTATGGCACCAAAGTTGATGGTGGCTGATGAGAGAAGAATATCGGGGACTGATTAGGGCTTATTTTGTGGCCTAAAATTTGGGCAATCTTATCAGGCTTTAAGTCTTGTAAAAGGTGTCAGGAAAGGTTGAGGTTGGTGGCTAATTAAAGTCAAGAAAGCAAAAATTTGGGGTTGTTTTGGGTGCTGTGAGGATCACGTTTCTTGTGCTTAAGAATTGGTCAACTTAGTTCTAATTGTAGACATTAAAAAACCAAGTATTAAGTTCTAACACCAATACAATTTCGAGAAAAGTGGATTCCTAATAAAATCAGTATTTGCAACTAAAGTTTGATGGACATTTAAAGCACATTAGAGAGGATCACATTTAATTTGTTTGCAAGGGGATTAAACATGAGCCCAACAGATTTTTCCTAATTAGCAAAACAGATTGTTTACTATTTAAACTTGTACTAGGAGAGAGTTTGTTATAAAATTGATAGAACCTAAGATGGATGAAACCCCTGTAACATGAAGACTAGAAATTGCAGAATCTACTACTTCCTGTATGATTATTAGAAGTATGCATTAAAATACATTCACAACTAAGAAAAGACATTCAAAACTTGGAGGTGGAATTTAAAAGAGAGAATGCAGTATAAGGCTAGAATGCTAAAAGAAGCGACATGACATTTGTAGCATAAAAAGCAAATGTACTATGAAATAATATGTGAATGTGTAAAGCATATCAAAAGAGATTCTTCAAAAATCCAAAGCTATGGACCATAAAAAAAAACATATTGATGGAATGATGAGATCCAAAATCATATTACTAACAAAAATGTTGAAAACAATTTTGTTAGTAATATGACAAAAAAATAGAAATGATGAATGTTTTAAAAGATATAAACTATCAAACAAAGTAATTAAAAAACTAGTTTGAGAAGCTATGTATAAAGCAAAGTAATTAATAGTGATCTATATTCTAATTACATAGAAAGGGTGGAAAGAAATATTTATGGACTTGCTAAATTAGGAAAAAGAAAAACAAGGGATTTTAGTCACATTACATGTATTGTGATTAAGGATTCAAGGATTTTGGTATAAGATCAAAAAATCAATAAAAGGTGAAAATTTACTTTTGAATAAAAATCATATAAGCTTAGATAGTGTAAAATTCAATAACTATGGTAAGATTGGAGGGCAAACGAGATTATTAGGCCATTCTTTGGTCTTGATAGTGCCCTCTGATTCTATCGAATCTACAGGTGTCCTGATTTTCTTTCAAAATAATATCATAGGATAAGAATGTCTAATGTAAAGAATGTATTAAAATATGAAACCAAAAATTCTTTTAGGCCTGACAATAAAACTATCAAACCTTGAAAGTTTTTAGGTGATATCAAAGTATTTTAGTTAAAAACATTAGTTGATAGGATTATAACAACTAGAGAAATGCTTCAAGGGTGAAAAAAGATTATTTTATTACCATATATAAACTAAGAGAGACATTCATATATTTTCCAATTATGGGGATGTCCAAAATCATATAATGAAACTTTAGGAGAAAGTGATTGATGAAATGAGTAAGACTTGAAACAACTCTATCGGATAATCAATTTAGACTTATTCCGAGGAGATTAACAACTGTGGTTGTTGGAGTTCCTATTTTTATGTTATATATTTATGTAAGGTAGTATTGTAATGACACAAGATAGTGTTCAATATAAATAAGGGAGTGTAGGGCAACACTACTCACACAACTTATTACTCTCTCTTGTTTCTCCTCTCTTTCTCTTTTTCTCTCAATTCTCTGACCCTAATATTCTATTTACTATTTCAACTTGGTATCAGAGCATATTTGAATTTCTTATTCTCTTTTCCTTTTTTTCTTTTTCTTTTTTTCTTTTTCTTTTTCTTTTTCTCTTTTTTTTTTTTNGCTACTCCTCTCTTTCTCTTTTTCTCTCAATTCTTTGACCCTAATATTCTATTTACTATTTCAACTTGGTATCAGAGCATATTTGAATTTCTTATTCTCTTTTTTTTTTTTTCTTTTTTTCTTTTTCTTTTTCTTTTTTTTTTTTCTTGTTACTGGTCTTTGTTCCCCGACAAAGGCATGATAGGTTAGTGTATTGATGCCCTCCAGTGGTGAATAGTGGTTGTAGGTGTTGAGTTTCACAATGAGTTGTGAAATTCTGGTGACCAGAACTGTGAAGATGACTGGGTGTTGATTCGGGGTTGTCGATTTTCTTGGTTCTGAAGGTGTAGATTTACCTTGATTTGCAGATGATCGAGTGTTCATGTCTTCATTGTTAATGCTTTTTATTTTTAGGGCTTGTCATTCCTGTTGGTTTGATGGATCACTGTTTTGGTCGTCGTTGGTGATTTTANGGAAACAATGGCCTTATCCATTAAACTACATGTACTCACACATCTCAACAAAATGACATTGCTAAACGCAAACATCGTCATTTATTTGATGTTGCCCGCATGTTGATGTTTAACATGCATGTGTCAAAACCTTTTTGGGCTGATGCTATTCTTACTTAAGTTTATCTTATTAATCACATTTTTTTTTCATTTTGGATAACAAATCTCCTTTCTCATTGCTTTATCTTAGATTGCTATTTGGACTCTCTTTGTTTCTTCGTTTCTTTGGTTATATTGTATTTGTTCATTTTCTTGNTAGTGGTGTTGTCGTCGCTGGAGGTGGTGGTGTTGTTGATCCAATAGGGCTAGGGTTTGCAGAGGAGGCGCTCAGCGAGGAAGGCGCTCAAAGAAGATGACGAAATCCGTTTTTTATTGGGTTGCTTCGGGTTGTATTTTCCGGGTCAAATCAACGGGTCCAACTCAAAATCCATTTTTTTTTATCCTTCGTCCAGCCCAAACATTGGGCCCACTTTGGGAGTTTTTCTTATTTAGCCCAGTCCAAGACCGAAGNACTAGATATAGTTTTTCCCGATCAGGGGGAGCCCTTATTGCCTATTTTACCCGACTATGTATCTTCTTCCTCCTCGATTACTACACCTCCCTTGCAGGTTTATTGTCGTTCCAAGGACAAACAGGTTTGTCCATATGCTCTCGCTCCACAGCTATCGCCTGATTCTACTAAGTCCCTGTCTTTTAATCCATTTAGTTCATCCTCTTTTGATTTTGCCTATTGTCGAGGAAAGGTACTCGTCATTATACCCAGGGTTGCCTGGATCGCAGGTCGGTTGGGTTCGTGGTATGGGTATAGGTGCAGAGTACGTTACTTTTTCCGGTGCGCGGTACGGTGGGGTAGACTTAGTTGGTATGTTATTTTGAGTCGTGGTTCGCTTTGAACTATTATCCGGATCGTTTTCATTATTACAAAGAATTATATAAATTTATACATTATAAAATGCAAATCAAGACCAACAATAACACTTCAACTAATAATCAGATATAAAAAGTAATGATTGCATATTTTATTATTAAAAAAAGACAGAATATAAATTTAAAGATTTAAAATTTAAAAAATAACATACTAGAGAGCGATTAAATAGTTTTCTACTTGAAGCAGAAACTAAAATAACACTCTTAAATATCTAACAAATTTCAAATAAAAATTACTTGATAATAAGAAAGAATTAGAGCACGAGTTAATTGCCAACTCTTTTCCCTTTATCTTTCACAGTGTTTCCTCTTGCAAATTTACTAATTTGAGTTTGATACAATCCAGAATGATGAAGCGGTGACCTGCTAGAACTAGTAGGTAGCCTGGTGGAACTAGTAGGTGGCTTATCAATAGAGACAGACGTAGAAGCATGTAAGGATGAAGCTTCCCGGTCTTCGTCATTGGCAATGGTAGAACTATCTGTATTGNTCTAAAAATAAATCATTTATTTTAGAGGGTTAGTGGATCACTAATTTATTAAAAAAAGAAAGACTAGAACCATTATTAAAATTTTTAAAAATTTAGGGGGAAAATATAGTTTATTAAATAATTTTATGGGTTTTCATCAAAAGTGGTCCAAAAATGACGGGGCTAAGTGCCCACTCTGGTCCCTATGTGGCTCTACCCTTATCCCTCCTTGCAAAAGTTGCATCAAGTTATCTCGGGGTTGATATGAGGCTTCTCAATTAAGCAAGCATCACCATTAGCTCTTTTCTTCCTAGTTATTCCAGTCATCAGCCCAATCCGTTTCATATTGTTCATACGGACATTTGGGGTCCAGTAAGAGTCAAAAGTATATCTGATTTTCAGTATTTTGTCATCTTTATTGATGATTTTTCTCATTTGACTTGGTTATTTCTT